GTCAAATAAATCTAAGCAAAAAATATGAGACAATCATTTCAGAAATTTCTTTATTTTTTTCAAGAGAAGTTCAGGGCGTGGAGAAGAATGAAAAGAAAGAAGTAAGTATTAAGCTTACAATTATATCCATGCTATAGTTTATATTTTTAGAGTGATGAATATTTGATTGTACAGAAAACCGAAGAAATATACTGCCTTTGTGGCCCTCCTTTTGAGGATATATGAATTTAAACATCTCATTTTTATAAGAACTCTTCTTGGAGGACTTGAAGAAATATAGCTGTCTTTATGGCCTCTCTATTTTGGAAGATATATTGATTCATATTGTCTTATTTTAATGAGAACCCTCCTTATACCTTCTGACAAAGAGCATAAACATTAATTAATAATAAGTGTATCATATTATAATATTAACTTTGCTTGTTTCTTTATTAGGCAGATCTTAAAGTTTTTAAACGGTATTTATATGATGCGAAGAAAAAACATAAATATGTTCAATATGACTATATGTGGTGGATTGTGCACGAGCGTTAGAGTGGAATGATCTTATTCAAAAAGATGTTTATAATCATATGATAGAATATCAAGCCAAACATGACATACATAAAGTTGATTTTTTCTTATCTGTAATTTCCTTTATAAATTTTTATCTAAATTAATATTTTATTTTGAACTAGCTGCAATTTGAACAGAACATGAATGATATTGTAAAAGTTCTAAGCAGAGAAATCTGGAATTTAAATCTAAAACCAAATGATCTAATACTTTCAGGGATCCTAGATACTGAAGAAATAAAAGAAAGAAATCTTGGATTTTTGCAGATGTTGCATGATACAAATATGCTAAATAGTTTTGAAGAAATAATTTCACGATTATTGTTGCCAGAAAAATTATCAAGTTTTGTTAGAAACTACCTTAGTGAAAAAAAGATAAAAATCCCTAATAATGAATATAGATCTTTATATATTTCGACGAGAACCTTTATTGATTCAATATAAGTTATATTAAATTTTATTATTTTGTTATGAACAACTACACTTACTAAATGTCACATAGGTTACAGTATATATCATATTGTATCACCAATATGATACATCTAATCAACTTGTATTATAGTCTAGAACTATACTAAGCTTGATTTTTTCATGAATCTATAAAGTCGCAGCATATGGAAAAAAAAGGAATATTAAAACAACTCTCTGAAAATCAATGAATCTACTTAGTCACATAGTGCAATTGATGCAATCATGAAGTTTATTGAGTCTGATATGGAGAAGGATCTTTTTATTCAGTGATATCGTATATTGTAATATTGCATATATTTTATATAAAATTGCTTTTTCTAATTAAGCAACTATTTAGGGATCATGCTGTGAGTCATACATCTGCCAATAGAAATAATGCTGATGGTAATGGACCTATCAAGAAAGCTGATATATTTGGTACCCATTACTGTAAAAATTCACGATATAATATTGAATTATTTTTTGGTGAAATCTCTGGATCCCCTTTTTACTTAAATAATTCCAGAAGATTTTATACTGTTGAAAACCAAATTAAGTTGGGAAAATGTAGGAAAGATTCTCTTGAAGATTTAAATAGATATTATAAAAAGACATATCGGCCAATTTTTGAAATTTATAAGTAGAGTGTAGTTTTTAAAAACTTTAAAGCTAAATAATTTCTGATCAACTAGTCCATTTTGAATGATTTTATTACCAAAATGTTCGTCTCTTTGAGACAATTCCAACGAGCCCAAAATCATTAAAATCTAATTACAGGATCATAAGACAATGCATTGTCAAATAGTGATGCACCTGAGGATAGGGTTGATTGGTTAGACATAGGACTAACCAATCAACCAACCCTCTAGGTGCGTTACTATTTGACAGCGCATTATCTCACGATCCTGTAATTAGATTTTAATGATTTTGGGCTCGTTGGAATCGTCTCAAAGAGACGAACATTTTGGTAATAAAATCATTCAAAATGGACTAGTATATCAGAAGTTATTTAGCTTTAAAGTTTTTAAAAAATACACTCTATTTATAAATTCCAAAAATCGGCCCATATGAACAAAGAATTTGTTGGATATAAAAATATTAATATCTTTTTGATGCATGCGCATAGTTAGTAAATTTTGAACTGCCTTTATCATTTTTTGTTAATAACTAATAATATGATTATTGAATCTTCAAAAACATTTATTAAATTTTCTATTATGGATCAAAAGTTTTATCCATTATTTCGAATAAGAACTTTGGAGAAAGTTGCATTTTCTTATAAATGTAATTTAACATTTGCACAGGTGCAATCTTTAATTGAGATAATGTACACATATAAAATGTTAATTAAAAGCAATTTAGATATTTTGAATTCATCAGACAAAGAATTTTGCACAGTAGATAAAGACAACAAGGATAAAAGCAATTACAAGAAAGATGATAGTAGTAGTGAAGAAATAGAGAAAAGTTGTAGTGGAGAGGAAGAGTAGACTAAAGATGAAAATTACGATTCTTTAGATATTATATCTGGAAAGATAATGATGATAATGATGAGAATAGTGAAAATAGAGATAGCAGCAAAGTGATAGTCAAGCCTATTAAAATATATAATACTCTATAAGTAGTTGTAAATTTACTATAATTACTAGTATGACAGCAATAAAAATTAAGCATTGTACCTCATTGTGATACTAAGCCAATTAAAATTTCATAAGAGAAATAATCAATATGCTACTAAGAAATTTAATCAAATAATTGCTATTTATTTCATATTAATTATATGTGCAGTTTCAGTTCTGGTATCCTTCATGAAATACTAAATTTATACCCACCAAAAATACCAGATCTATTTGGATCATTTCTGCGAAACACTACGTGAAAACATCACTCAAAGTTTTAAAAAATAAAATTTTTATTGAAATTATTGGTGGTCGTGAGATACCATAATAGGAGAACTATCAGAGAATCACCTCCATAATTACTGTACTTGCAAATTATCATTATTGTTTGATGAAAGATGTACTAGCTAATAAAGAAATGTAATTGAGATTGAAAATAATATTAAACAACACAAATTTTTAATGCGATAGACTTACATTATAGCATTGTTGTTTAATATTATAATTAAATTTTTGATTGCAATTCTTTGTGGTAGTGTTGGGGTGTTTGATATACTCACTTTATTTACAATCAGTAATATGAGGTTCATTTAAAGCTAGAATAAATATAAGAACATTCATTAGTAATAGGACTATTAATAATATGATATTATAATAATAATAAAAATTTTCTTATTATTTGGATATATTTAATTTCTTGAACAGTTCGTAAAAATATTAGAAATTGGAAAGATTATAGTTGATCAATTAAAAAAATTAATTGATAATGACTAGCTATTATTCAATTGAATTGAGAATTTTTTGAATCCACTGTGCAGCCTGCAGCATTATGCAAGCTGACCAAAATTATACTAGCTGGCCAGAATTATGCTAGCTAGCCTGAATTTTAAAAATCACACTGTGTAGTATCCCATCTCTAGTTATACCTGCTTGTCTGTTTGGCTTATAATTAATCTGATTGGCCGGACGTTGTTTCGCCAGAAATAGAAATTTAACAAAATTTCCTTATTTTAAATTTTGTATCATAACAAATACATTCATTAATGTGTTATATACTAAAAACCGAGGTTGCTAGTATCCATAGATGGGTGGCTAAATTATTTTGCATTGGTGTAAATTTAAATGGCTAAATTCTTTTAGATTGCCTAAATCATAAATAATTTAGGCTGTCTAAAATAATTCAGACTGTCAAATATATTTTAGGGTGTCTAAAATATTTTAATATGTCTAAAATATTTTAGTACAGTAATAACGATATAGAACGCGTGTATTTGATTATTATTATTTTATTTTTACAGTATAGGTTAGTGTTACAAATCATCAAAATTTTTTAATCGATTAGTTGCAACCGGAAATATTGTATAGAGATCCAAGGTTGATTATTGGATGTCAAAATGTGTGAGGGTCTATTTGAAATGCCTCTGAAGCTGGGAAAGTGGGGTAATGCAAAATTAATTATGATTAATTCCTGATTTTTTTTGATATTAGAGAATAGAGCTTAGCATTGAGTTATATATAAATCATGTGATCAGTTAGCAAAATAATGATTCTTTTTCAAACTAATATGTACAATAATTACTGTATAGTTTTTACTTCAGCGAACTTAGTCTCTTTATAATTGTGATTACGCAATTAATAACTATCTGCTATTAATTTGACATTTTTGCTTTGCAGCACTCAAATAATGTTTAATCATATATCACAATTTCTTTTTATTATCTCATTAACTAAAATAATAGTATAATAAATCTAAAAAATAAAGTTTTATAATATAGTAAATATAATTACAATTACTACTTTTGTAGTAAATAATTACTACATTACTACATATCATAATTTAAATTATGATGCCATATTTTACTTCAGGCAATGCAATATCGATATAAACTTACATGGCTTGCCAATCTTATTAATTTTCACGTAATTAAATCTCAATTTAAATTCTAGCGCTTTCGCTAGTTTTTTGTTATCGTCATTGTTATGTTTTTTCTATCCTTTTAATTTGAAAATATATATTAGTATAATTTGTCAGACTACAGCATATCATCACAAATATAATTTGGTTTAATATAACTTAAGAATTCATTTTCATGTGTCAACGTTATTACATTTTTGATGAATATATATATGTAAATTTATAATAAAATCATTATATATTAATATATGCAACATAGAAAAATTATAACAAGAATTTCAGGCTTTTGATATATTTCTCTTTTCAAATATTCTTGGCTACTGTGCTATTAAAAAATAATGATCAAAATTGTAGAAAGTAAAGAAATTATAAAAAATTTGATCAACCTAATTTGGAAAGCAACTGAAGGAAAAGTTGTCACTATTACTTTCAATAGCCAGTTATGCTTAGCAACCATCTCCTTAGATAATAGAATTAACACTACTCTAAATTTGGAAGCACCAAGAGTGATCCTTATTAAAGAAGACATTTCTAGCAGGATAATAAATAAACATGCTGGTTTTATAATTGATGATGTGAGTGATACTACATAACTAAAAAAAAAAGGTCTAAATATAGAATATATAATGATAAAAGAGATTTTAGTAGTCATTTAACATTTCAAAATCTGTAAAATAAAAACTAGGGTAATCAAGATAATGAATCGTTCTCACAAGTTGATGAAAATGATAAATTAAATTCGGATTATGAAGTTACTAAAGGAATTGGAAAAAATATTAGTTCAAAGAGGATTCAATGAACTGAAGACAAACAGATAAATAAGATCTCCAAAATTACTGAGAAAGATCAAGTAAGTAATATTTTTTCAGATGAATAATATTTAATTTTAGAGATTAGATCAACTGAAATTAACTGTTATACTAACCTAAGTCTTATCCTTAAAAATGCTACAATTGATATTTATGAAATTTATTAATTCTATTAATGTAAATTTTTAACCACACAAACTATTGACATTAACAAAAAATTTAATCTTAAGAGAAAATATTAGTGGTGATGATGGTAGTGATGATGATTCACCGGAATGGTTGGAATGTGAAGAATGCTATGGACCTAAAAAAGAATTTTGTGATCTTTGTGGTTGTTCTGTATGCAAATGGAAAGGAGATCGAGGTCATATTCTCCTGTGCGATGGATATTGTGGTAAAGGCTTTCACACCAGGTGTTTAAAACTACTACTTGCAAGAATACCAGCCAGAAACTGGTACTGCATAAGATGTTCAAGGAAATCAAAACATAAGACACAATCAGATGATTCAAGTTCAAGTGACAATATGAGAAAAATTAAAAAATCAAATGGTAATAGAAAATGTAAACTATTACTAGATCGTAATGGTAAATAAGCAGTTTTTATTATTCTGTATTAAAAACAAACTCAAAAGTATTATATAAATTTATTAGTAAAGTATATAGAAGATACAGAATCTACAAAAGATGAAGTGGTGAATGATAGTCAAGTAAAATTTGAATTTAGTGATCTTAAGATTTTAAAAGCTATATATCGATATTATTATTGATATAAACTTGTTTTCTTATCTCTCAAAAGCAAACAGACAAAATTGAAGATACTACAGCAATTCAACCACAATCAGATACAAACGGGTAAGATTTTATAACTAAAATTTAACAAATCTACCAAAACAAAAATTGAATTACAAAGCTAATTTCAAAAAGGCATCACTTCATCACAATCTCGAAGCAAACGATGATATTATGAAGTCAATTAATGATTATGAAGATGGTGAAAAACTCATAAGGAATTTGACATATTCTTTAATTCTGATTCATTATCTAAAATACATATTTATTCAAAATCTAGCAGAATGAATAAAAAAAATATACTGATTACTATCAACTAAATATTTTTTTTAGTTAAAAGATGGTAAGACATAGTAAAAGTGAAAAATTCCTTCGAATTGTTCAGAAAACTATAAGAAAAAAGCGCATCTAGATTTACCAAGGGATATTAAAGGGAAAGAACGAATGCAACATTCTTCGTCTAAAACTGAATCTGATGGTAAGAATTGATATATTTTTAATCTGTACATCTACGTAAAATTATAAATTGATATCATATATCATGATTAGAGTTTGAATCAACATCATTGTGCACAAAGGTTTTAAGCAAAAAGCCACAAATAAGTGGTAAGTTAGGCAAAAAAAAAAAGGAATTTTAGCGCTCTTTATCCCTTAAACCATCCAAATAAGCAAGCAAATTTGCCTGCTTAAATTTTATAAATTCATATCTGATCTATTTTTTTTAAAAATAAAAATATTTAATAATTTTTTTTT